TCCTCTAAAGTTATATTTTTCATCTCGTTCTTGAAACAATTCATTTACATTTTTAGCCACTAGTTTGTTTTTTACTTTATACATTACTTGCGCTGTCTTGAATTTTACCAGGTCTGGGAATTTTAATGTATATAGCTTTAAAAATAATCAGGTTGCTCGATCAAAATGTATTAATCACGATTAACCGCTACAGGGTGCTAGCGCTTTACTGTAACTTGAACACAGCGTGAGAACGAGAACACGCCTCGTGTCGCGAGAGAGACCAGGGTTGAAAACAAAATGAAGCGGGCGAAAAGAAGTGCGGTGTGGGACCACTTCAATATTGTTAATTCAGGCAAAGAAGGTTGTCATAGCGACTGTCCGCGACCACAAAAACAAGAACGTTGGGGCGTTAGCCAGCTAGCTCGCTAGCATAGCCACCTATCCGTTAGCCTTAGCATCAGCCGGAGAGATGATAGCGCTCATCAACAAACTGCTGGACTGGTTCAAGCCTTGAACCAGAGCGCTATCATGCAAGAACTGAGCCAGGTTTTTTTTTAATTAAAGATTTTGTTTTACCTTAAAAACGTGTCTGCTTTCTTCTCCTAATGCATAATTACTTGAGGAATGTATAATATAATACAATATAATTATGGTATCATAATGTTGGCTAATGTAATATAATACCTCAATTATATTAAGGCCCTATTGAAGCCCTGAAACTCAGGTGAAAAACGGCGCTTATCAATTAATCGAAAGTCGATCGATAAGATAATCAACTAATGATTAATGAATTAATCGATAATTTGCATCCCTACCTGGAGGTGATCTCCGAGGAGCTCCAGAGGATCAACGAGGAGATCAAACGGAGCAGCCTGGACGCGACCTACTTCTCGGTGGAGGAAAACATCACGAACCAATTCCGCAAGTACATGGACATCCTCAACGCCAAGCCCAAGTTCAGGGAGGTGAAGAAGAAGCTTTTCCTGGAGCACTTCGAGGTAACCGGCGGGGACAAGAACCTGCACTCCCTTTTCGGCGCGGTGACGGGCGACACGTTTTCGGGGGAGTCGCTCCTGGACGTGATCGTTAACTACGAGGAAAAGGGCCGGCGCCCGGTGGAGGACTTCTGCGCCCGGTTGAAGAACCTGCTCTGCGTGGGGCTCATCGCCCTGCTGGGTCACGCCGCCCTGAAGGGATACGGGGAGGAGGACGCCCTGCTGAAGACCTGGGCAAACAAGATGGACGCCGTCCAGGTAGGGTTGTCACATGTAGGGGTGGGACGGTTCACGAAATCCACGGTTCGGTTCGGTTCGGTTCACGGTTTCGTGGTCACGGTTTTCGGTTCGGTTCGGTATATGTTGATTAGGGTTGTCAAAAGTATCGATACTTAAAAAAGTAGTTAAAAAAGTATCGATACTAAAATGTTGTATCCGGATACGATACTCATTTTAAAAAGTATCGATACTTTAATGTCTATATTGCTTCATGGCAATATAGACATTAATTTAAAAATAGTGAAATTAATCTTTCAAACACTTATTTAAACTCTATCCATAATATTATGTTAAAATAGTGGATGTTAAATAGGTTGGTACGTTAAGTCCAAACAAGTTTAACCAAACAATATTTATTTTTCACCATTATGAAGGGTTAGGGTCAGGGGCAGTGTCAGGGTTAGGGTTAGGATTAGGGTTATGGTCATTAATACGGGCCACCAGTCACTATAACATAACAATAACATAAGTAACAGGTCAGTTTGAAATGAAACACACTAACCTGTCAAAATTCAGTTAAATTTTGGGGTCTTTGTTTTTATCCTTGTGGTATCGAAAATGGTATCGAGTATCGAGTATTTTCCTGAGTATCGGTATCGAGTTGAAAATTTTTTTTTTGTTAGGAAAATCTATTATGTCTTGTATAGTCAGGTTAAAACTGAAAGAAAAAAGCAGTCTGACATTTGATACATTATTGTGACAGTCTGAGGTTAAAAGTAGGTGAGATTCTGGCATTGCCAGAGAGGAAACAGTGCTAATTCCAACATGTGCTTCCCTCTAAATGCAAAGTGGTCCATACAGCAGACCTAGAAATGCTGTTGGTGCGTCTGATTTTTATTATCGGCTACGCTGCTTTTTCTTCTTCTTCTTGTTTCCTACTGGAGGTTGGCTTTGGGCGCAGTAGCGCCACCTTCTGGTCTGGAGTGTAAACGCTTCCCTCTGAGAAAAAGGAGCAGCATGAACCGAACGAACGCACGCAAACCGAACCGAGACAGTCCAACCCAACGGTTCAGACGGTTTTCAGAAACCGTCCCATCCCTAGTTGTCACGATACTAAAATTTTCAACTCGATACCGATACTCAGGAAGCGAAAATGAGTATCGTATCCGGATACAACAATTTAGTATCGATACTTTTGAAAATGAGTATCGTATCCGGATTCAACATTTTAGTATCGATACTTTTCAAAATGAGCATCGTATCCGGATACAACATTTTAGTATCGATACTTTTGAAAATTACCATCGTATCCGGATACAACATTTCAGTATCGATACTTTTGAAAATGAGTATCGTATCCGGATACAACATTTTA